TTACAAAAGGTTCAGGCATAGTTGAATGAGGAAAAGCCTTTTATCCCTCCATTTACCTATGAAACTTCCAGCTCTGGAAGACAGATACTATTTGACCAGTTCCTCCGTGGTTGTGTGTGTATGTGTGTATCATTTCTTTTTTCATATCCCAGCTGTATAGGACTCAAACATCAACTACAAACTTTTTTTTCTGCCCGGAGCATAAAGTGTCAAGGTGCATGCCCGAAAATCCTTGCCTGTAAAATTTCAGTGGTGAGAGGGATTGGAGGGGACTGTGTAGAGCTATAAGCAAAGGCAAGTATATCAGGAGTTAAAAAAAAAAATCTCATTTCATTCACCTCAAAAAGAACAGTGGCCCATTTCCTTCAGAGAAATATCTTTGATGTGAAGCAGAACTTTAAAAGGTTCCCTTGATACTTCTCAGTTATTTATATTTTATTATTTAAGAAATTCCATGTTTTAAAAGTAGTAGTATAGAGCTACTGCTCCAGTAATATTTTGGGAATGTACAGTGGTCACTTGGAAAAGTTGCTTTAAGATAGCAACTCAGGGCCGAGTTTTCCAAACTCTTAGTGTGCTGGAAAAAAAGGGGAGAAAACCCCATGACCACAACAAAAAACAGACACTCTTCTGCTCACTAACTCCTTGTGCATAGTTTTGATGTGGTGTAAGAGTCTAGGATGTTAAAACTTTCTCTTTTGTAACTCTCAGGACAAAGTTGTGTTTTTATCAGTAAAATAAGCTGATATAATTTATAGGAATATACAGGAAGCAGATGTCTGCCTTGGCAAGTTGCCATTTTTATGGCCCCATTCCAAGCATAAACCACACTTTGGAATAATTAGTTACTAACTAATGAGATCCAAAAATAAGTTGTCAAAATAGAAGAAGGGGGTAGGCTCTTGAGTGACCAAGGGCCTCTTTTTTAAAAATCCATTTCAAATGGGTAGAATTAGTATTCTAGAACACCATTAATTAGTGCTTTTTCAGTCAATGCCTGGGGCTGTACCTCTTCTCACTTGAGCCTCTCTATGGTGATAAGTATTTGGAGGGTTTTATTGCTTTGTTAAAATGCTTTGGGGGGGGGGGTAACAACTACCCAAATCCAAGTTTGTGGAGGAACTTTGGTACTTGTCTCATGGCTATTGCTAATTAGCTCTTGTCTACTGAAGGAAGGGACTTGGTTCTCATCAGGAATCCCATCCCTCAGTGGAGGGTTTGGGTTTTGGGGTTTTTTGGCAGGGGCGGGTGGGGGGGGTGCAGTCTACTTACTCGTTTCCCTGTGCACTTTTCACTGTCTCAGGAACCCAGAGGGACTGTTCTACCCTGTCCTGTGGATTGAGATGAATCTTCTTGTCTCATGGGTCGCTGGGTTGGAGTCAACTTGATGGTAGTCAGTTGAGTTATGTTGAGATTCCTACTCAAGTTTAACCATTAAAACTGAATACAGTATGCATTTTGAAGGAAACATGGCTAAGACGCCAGTGTTTTGGTTCATTAAATATCTCCATTGAAGTTTTATTATATCATTTGCTAGTTTTCAAAGAAACCTTAAAGGGCATATTTGTAGCCCAACTAATGGTGATTAAAAGTCAAGGCATTTCTGAATGGTAGGGACATGGGTCATCCTCGTCATCATTTATTTACTCAGTGTATCTGCATTGCTGTGGTGGAAGAAAGACGCAGGCCTTGGCTTTGTGGAGCTTAGCATTCTGGAGGGGGAAGATGGTCATTCAAAAATAATTGTCCGGATGAAGAGTTCATGATAATTGGGATCAGTGTTGGAATGGTTGGTTCAGGCTGTTGGAGTTCACTTAGAATCTAGGGGTGCAATTAATCCACTGGTTCATCCAATTAGCACCTACCTAGAGTCGTAGGCACTGAGTTGATTGCCACAAACACAAGTAAACGTGTAGAACAGTTGTTCATGAGCTTTGGTTCTATTGTTAGTTGCCCTGGTGGCTTCAACTTATGGCAAACTACTATAGAACAGAACACAGCAACTGGTCCTGTGACATCTTCTTGATGGCTGTAAGGTGTGAATTCATTGTTTTGGTCACCTCCCTCATGGTCTCCCTTGCCTTTGCTGATCCTTCACCTTATCTAGCAACTTTTCTAGTGATTGGTCTTTTCTGATGCCCTGTCTGCCATCCTCCCTTTGAAGGAGCATTTTGGTTCAAACCACCAGTCTTTCAGTAGCCACCTGCGGACGCGTTCTCCAGCACTCCCAGTGATTCTTCTCAAGCTGTCCTGAGTGTGATCAGGACTAACAAACTCAGAACCAAACTCATTGCCATCAAATCGATTTCCAACTTGTAGCGACCCTGTAGGGCAGAGTAGAACCGCCCCTGTGCATTTCCGAGGCTGTCACTCGCTACTGGAGTAGAAAGCCTCCTCTTTCTCCTGAGGAGCGGCTGGTGGGTTTGAACTGCTGACCTTGCCGTTTACAGCCCAACTCATAACCCATTACACCATCAGTGCGTGGGAAAATTAAGGTTCTAGGATGCTACCCTCAGAAGAACGGATTCCTAACATCAGATACTGAACCCAGGAATCTGAATTTTTTATAAATACAATAGCAAAATGGATGCCATTTGTCTGTGTACCTCTCAGGGAATCGGTGCTATGGATCGGATTGAATTATTCTCTTTATGTACCTTGAAACCAAAAACCTAACCAGACTCACTGCCATGTAGTTGATGCCGACTTATAGCGAACCCTGTAGGGCTGGGTAAACTGCCCTTGTGAGTATCCCAGTGTCTAACTCTTTATGGGAGTAGATAGCCCGTACTCTTTCTGGTGGCTTGTTGGTTTCGCACTGCTAACCTTGGGGTTAGCATCCCCACGGCTAACCACTACATGCCATTAAGGTTCCTCGGAATATATATCTTAAGGGTAATATTCACGCTGCCCTCCCCCACCCCGGGGGCATTAAGAAAACTAAAGAGTCATCCTGAGATTGTTAGCCCAAGATGGGACTCTAAGGCTCTTCATTGGCATTCATGGAAAAAAGCATGGTGTGCCTGTGGTCTTTTGGAAAGAAAATGCACACTTTAGTGTGTAAAGGTATTTTTCCAGGAAAGCATTCATATTTTTAACCTATTTTTAAAGATACCAAACCGGCCCCGCCCCGCCAAACCGGCCCCTCCAATAAGAAGGTTTAGGTCTCCATTTCTGAGTCTGCAAATAATTTTGCAGGTGAGAAAATAGAGTCAGTAGCAGTTTAGCCCCAGTTATGCCCCGAACAACTTCAGGAGGCTCCCATCTCATGGCACTGAGGCTGGTCCCCTCTGGATTTGTGCACTGGGCCAGCCCTGCTGAAAGAGTCAGGCAGCTTGCTCACTGCTTGTCCTTTGTGCTCTCTGAGGGATGCTTCTGAATTTGGAGTGGATCTTACGATTGATATGTAAATTCAAGTGAGAGCTTCTTTTCCCTTTTTCCTTCTAGAGAAGCTGTTCTTAAATAACGTGTGTGTTTTACAATGAATGCCACTGGATCATCAAGAGGAAAGATGGAAGTTAGGGGAAGAGCTGGTGCGACAGCACCATGTGACACTGGTTCTTAAACTCCCTCGTCACTTGAATGCCACGCCAGGCGGGGATTTCAGTGTACAAGGAAGAAAGATCTTCCGTTCTTTTTCAATCTTCTAGTTAAGACGGGCTGAAAATACTTCTCCAGTTTTAATTCTTTCACTCAGTTTCGCATTTGCTTACTTCATTTTACTAATTATTGTTTTTGCTTGACCATGGTGGTGTTTCAACCTTGTTTGCCAATTGGAGAAAATAAGCAAATGACTAGGCCGAAAAAATGCTGAACATGAGTTTTGCAGTTCTTCCAGAGCGCTGGAAGAAAACTTACCAGTAAGGCTGCTTTTTCATCCTTTCTTGTATTCGTTGAAGGCATAGATCATGACTGCAACCAAGAACATGAGCCAAACAGAGTGACAATTGGTGAGTGATGAGTTAGGGCAATTATTGCTTGAATGAAGTGAGTGACGGACAGACTAGTTGAACTTGTCCGAAGCGATTCTAGTCTTGGCTACAGGCAATCTTCAGGCTTTTCCTTGTGGGATCAAGAATACATCGTTTTGTCACCGTTGTTTTTTTGAAGGGTAACTTAATGAATAGAAATGTTCTTCCATTGTAAGAGAGTTGTAAAGGTAGTGTGGTTTTCTGGAATGAATTAGGCTTAAAGGACATATTGCTGGTCAGAGGTTTTAGGGAAGGAGATGGCAGTGAGTGGCTGCTTGGATTGTCTTCTCATTCAGAACATCGAGGAGAGATCGAAGATGAGAAATTATCAGGGCTTGTATTTGTCTATTTGTGTTGTAAACCTGTATCTGTGGCTTCAGCTTTGGAAAACTTTCATAATGTTTCTCCAGTAAAACCAACCACCTGAAAAGGTAATCGAAGATGTTACTTCGAAGAGTTGTGTGACGCTGAGATTTCACACTATACACACCATTGAAAATTGAGATATTTAGACTATTTAATCACAAATGCCCAGTAGGAATTTGGGGACAGTCTTATATACTGGACACCCCCCCTTTTTATTAATTTATGTTTTTCATTTTGTGTCTGTAGACAGAGAGGGGCCCCAAACAAACCCCAACCCACTGCTGTCAAGTCTGTTTTAACTCATGGCAGTGCGTGTGCAACGGAGTCCATCTGCTCCTTAGGGTATTCTTGGCTATATTAATGGAAGGAGATTGCCAGCCCTTTATTCTGGGGCACCCCTGGGTGGGCTTGCACTGCAAGTTAGTAGTTGAGGGCAAAACTTTAGAGTCATTTGAGGGAGGACAAAAGTTGATCGACTTAATTCCTAAGGTCATCAGACATTGTTTTGTCCAAGCCCTGTTGGCAGGGTCTTCCAGATTGTGAGTTGCCTCTTCAGGTGGCAGGTGTCGTGGGCCTTGCAAAAGATTTTAGTTCACTCCAGTGTGATTGGAAGTTGATGATGCTGTTTTTGTTGTTGTTGCTGCTATTTTTTAAGGTGCTATCGGGGAGAAGAGAGCTGAAGTAATGAGAAGATATCATGGAGGCCCAGTCCCACAGCTCCACGACTACTGAGAAGAAGAAGGTTGAGAACGCCATTGTGAAATGCTCCACTCGCAGCGATGTCAGTGAGAAAGCTGTTGCCTCCAGCACCACGTCCAACGGTGAGCAGCCTCAAGCTTGCCCAGCAGCCCAGCCTGCAGTCATTTCCTGGTCTCTGCATTCCTTGTGAATTGAGCATGTACACCTGGACCAGTGTGTTTGCTTTGAGAGGCTGAAGAAAGCCAATGAGGGGGGAGGGTGTGTGTGTCTGTGTGGAGTGGGCAAGCCTCAGTAGTCCCAGTTTGGGCAGCCTGAATACTCATTTTCTTCCATTTTTTTTTCTGATTTGGATGTAAATGTGATAGGTTATTTATTGTAGGAAGTTCCTGTTTTGGCATTTTGGAAATCATCTTGATTAGTCTGGCAGGAGTTCGACATGCTTTGCATTTCACCATAGAGAATCTACACTAGTCAGAATAATTAGTTATTACAAAAGACACGCAAGTTGCCGTGTCAAAATTCGTGTCTGGATCACCTCCCCTCGCTCCCTCAATTTGAAATAGTCAACTCTGTAGGATTTCAGATTTTATTCACAGTTGATCCTTGAGGTAACTCCAGTATCTGGACAGGCTTTGTTGTTTCTAACATCTAGACGTTTACTTTTCTTAATGGTATTCCGAGATAAACATAGACACTGTTTCTATATGCAGTGTTCTACAGTTTTAAGTCACGGGTTGAAGGGCATTGTTGTTCATTCATTGAACATTGAAAACACATGCCAGAGCTTCCTCCCTCTAGTAAATACAGACTGAGTAGGTTAAGGTCCTTTTCCCAGTTTTCAACTGTCCTTGACCTATTGCTTGCTATTCAGAGATGCGATAGTCACCCCTAAAAGCAAAAGAAACACACCTTACTGCCAGGAGTTAATTCTGGCCCAATAGGACAGAGAGCTGCCCTGGGGGGTTTCTGAGGCTGTCAGTCTTGATGAGAGTACAAAACCAGAGCAGGGAGCCCCGGATGACCTTTCAGTTAGCAGCCTGAGCCATAGTGCCACCAGGGCTCCCGAGCCTCCCGGAACTTCCCTGCTCTTTATCATTTGCCCTTAAGAAGGAGCCGGCCAGGTCTTCTAGGTCCTGGGCTCTTCCCTCTGAGCTCACTCATTTGCATTAGCCAACCTGCTGTTTCCCTCCTGGTGGCCTTATATTTTATTTATTCCGAGAAAGAATTTACTAGGTTAATTTACAGTTTCTTACATGCCAGCGGATTGTCAGACTGCTTTGAAAGGTAACTGCAGCTTGGAACTTGAAGACTGTAAGGTCAGGCCAGAGACAGCACAGAATATTCGGGAACAAAGTGTGTACTTTACAGTCCTGAATGTGGTTCTGGTTTGACTTGACACCTCTACAGAGGAGCCTGGACACTGCTCTTCTGTGTTCCCTCCCTGTCTGACTGTCTGTCATCTGCTCCCCTTTCCCTAATTTAATGAATGCGCATAGCTGGCTTTCCTTGCTGGGGTGGGGGTGTGGGCAGGGTGGGAAGGGGCTGACTGGTAACCCTGCTGGCTAATGAGTCCATTTTGAATTAGTCTTTAGGGAGATACATGAGTATTTAAGTGTGAGAGTGCTTTCCTCATCAGTTGAAATAATGAATTTCCTTTTTAGACCTGTGAAAACACATCTATTCCCCCCTTATTTGTGGTAATCACGATCAAAACCAACAAAGCCCACTGCTGTCTAGTTGATTCCAACGTAGTGATTTTAATGCCACAAGTATATTTGCATCATGGCTTCCAGTGTGGCTAGAAAAGGCATTTTTTCCACCTTAAAAAAAAAAAAAGTTACTCTTGTTTCTTTTTTTTAGACCTAGTAAAAATAAGACAACATTTAATTTTAGAAATAGACCCAGTACAGGGAGCTTTGGTTATTTGGTGACTGTTCTGGTACCATGTAGGATGAAGTGTGTGTACACATTCTGCTTTGTGACCTCTCAGCTTTGGGTTTGGGTTATGATGTTCCTGTGTGTGTGAGAGAGAGAGAAGTAAGAACACAGGCAAGTTGGTAGGAGACGCTACACTACTACGTGGAACCTACATGGGCAACCCACCTTTGAGTGAAATGCAGGGTGGAAACACAGCAGTGGTCTGTTCTTCCAAAGGACTCCAGCACACACACGGGGAGTCTTTCCGGTGCTGCTCATCCGCCTTGAGCCGTCCTTTGACCACAGGTCTGCCTTAGGAACCCGTTTAACTCAAGTGGTGGCTGACTTGGGATTGCCCATCCCCCAGTGCAGAGAAAGCTAGCCAGAGAAGGAGCAGTGATGTATAAAAGTTGGCCTTACACTTCAGAGTACTCACAGCTCTGTTTACTAAACAGCACTCCATTAGCTCTCCTCCCCGCCTGTCCCTGGTAAGCACACATTCACTCCTAAACATGCACAAAATCTGCCATTTGGGGTGGAAGCGCATTATCTAAGTTTGCCAGGCACATGCCTGAATGATAGCTGTCTTGGAAATCCCGGGTAGAAAGACATTCTTTTCTGCTGCTCCCATTTCTTCTAAGATATTTATTATGTTGTATTTTGAGACAGCATCATGACCAACCAAATGAAAGAAACCATGGAAGCAATAATTATAGACTTGGGTTGTAAAACTGCCTGGAAGATTCTGGGAAGACAAATAAGCCAATGCAAACCCCGGATAAAAGGGGAGCAAAGGAAAAGGCACGCGTTACTCTGCTAGTGCCTTATGTAAGCAGTGCTCATGATGTCAGTGATCTTTCTCCACCGTGCGTACCCTTGACAAAGGAGTCGCCATCTCTGTAGCTCAGAGGATCTTGACCTTTCTTTCTAAGGAGTGTGCAGTTGCTGCAAATGGGGTGCTTTCTCTTTGTCCCACAAGCTCCGCACCTGGTGCTACACACACCTCCATGCTGCAGAGTGGTACCTCATGGAAGTGGGCGTGTTGGTCCGAGGCCCCCTTTGGATGTCAGAGTTGTGTTGATGCCAGGCTTTCCATGGTTGGTACCATGGTATATGCTGATAAGGGGCTACCATTACCAAGGTCAATCCGTCTTAATCTAGTTTCCCTATAAACATTATAAAAAAATATAAAATAGGGGTCCGTTAGTTACCAGGGCACTCTCTTCAACTGCTCACACCCCCCAAGTGTGTTAGAGCAGAATTGTGCTTCTTGGGCTCCTCAGTGGCTGATTGCTTAAGGCAATTAGCAGGCCATTGTCTGAGGCACCTCTGGGTGTACGGAAACTTCGGAAACTTCCGGCCTTTCTGTTAGAGGTGATTGTATTGACCATTTGCATTACCTAGGTCTTTTGAAAGGGTTATTCATTAATTGGAACATGAATATGGATGCCTACAATGATTGCATCTATTTCTGGGACCTTATGCTTTCTTTACAAAGTGCTGAAATGCAGTAATTTGTAATTGAGAGATTGCATCAAGAACCAAATGAATATAATATATGCACTTTGTCTCATGTTTACAATTCCATGATTAAAAAGAAGCAAACAAACAAAAAAATTTTTGTTATTGGCACTTGTGGTGGTTGACTTAATTAACTTTTCCAGGCCATTATGTGCTGCAATTTGTTCATGATTGTGAGCCTCCCAGCCAAACCATGCACATTCCAGTGCATGTCCCTACAGATCTGTTTTCTGACTTTCCCCAACTGAGGATCTGCTGCTTGAATAACATGAATGCAGAGTTTTATCTAAGGGCGCACGTGCGCACCACCAAAATGTAAGGGTCAGAAATCTGGAATGGCATTTTCAAATAAGCCTGTGCCACCTAACACTGACATTTAAAGTAACACATGGGTACAGCTTTGTTCTAAGTCACAAGCCACATTTATTTTGTGAGATTTACAGGCTGTGCCAACATAGACCCTTCAGTAGCCTTTCCGCAGGAATCGCCATGTGCATCTCGTGTGCCCATGCTTCTAAGTTCTCGTGTTCCTTCGGAAACTGAGATGGCCAAGGTGATGATAACTAGTTTCCCGAATCTTTCTGTCTAGTTTGCCTTTGTGGACTATGATGTGGGAGTTGACCTTGATGTTCTCCAAGATTTTGATGCTGAGCCCCCTGGCCCAGCAACTCACTCCCTCGAAGGGTTTGATTCTGGCTAAGAACTTTTCACAACTTTGTCCCTTGTGTGCTCGATTATATTCATGCATGTGTTTGCAGCATGTGCCAACACATCTGGAGGATAGCCTGTGACTAACCTAAATACAGTCATAGGTGTACTCCCCCTCTCCTTCCCCTACCTGCTCAGTTTGCTATGCATCCACTTGCACATCATCGTTAATTCAGGGTTGTGTATCACATTATTGTGTCTATCACAATACCATTGCCTTCAACAATTGGACTCCAGTGTCTTTCATTGTCTTCATCATCTTTTGCTGACCCCTCCCCACTTTTATTATTGTCTTCCTTTTCACTTAAGTAAATCTGTGCCTACACTCTAGTTAGTAATTTACCCTCTCCCCCAACCATCAGAGAATGTTTCTTTTCGTTTGACAACCTATTCTTGACATTTTCTGATAGTGATCTCAAACAGTATTTGGGTGGGTTTTTCTGGTATGTGTACGTGTTTGTCTGATTTCATTCAGCATAATGCCCTCCAGGCTGATCCACATTATGGGCTGTTTCACAGATTCGTCATTTTTCTTCTGTGTCACATGGTATTCTGTAGTGTGTTTGAATTATTTCTTAAGTGCGGTTGGGGTTTATGGGTTTGCTTTTGGTGTCTAAGATAGTGTCTTTTATATGCAGAGTGTATGCATAGGTATTAGGGGATGGATTAACACAGTGGCTGCAACAATAGGCTCAGGAACCATTTCGAGGACGGTGCAGGACCAGGCAGTACAGTATTGTGTTCTGTGGTACACAGGGTTACCATGGGCCGGAACAGACTTGATGGACCCCCAGAAGAACAAAAAACAATCGACTTAAAATGTGCAAGTCTGTTCATTGGCTAACATTATAACTAAAAATGCCCCAGTAGATGGTTTGCAGCTTGCCTCTAGTGTATGGATTTAGTCATGAAAGTTTTCTAACTAGGTCTTCCAAGATTTTTAAATTCTCACAATCCCATGAAACTTCTTTTAACG